TGTGTGTGTGTGTGTGTGTGTGTGTGTGTGTGTGTGTGTGTGTGTGTGTGTGTGTGTGTGTGTGCGTGTGTGTTAGCATGCCCGCGCTACTCCGTCTAAAAACGTCGGCACACCGTGAGCAAAAAGCAAGACGTGGGAGGCGATATTTCAACGCGGCGAGGTAAAACCACTAGGTATGTCCATCTTGTGGTGAGGGTAACCACAAGGCCGTATATCGGGTGAAGTTCGGCCAAACCAGCGCAAGTGGCGACTGAAGCGAAGGGGGGGTAGGGGTGCTTCGTATCGCAAGGGGGCAACGATCGAACCAACCATACAGAGAGAGGGAGAAACATTCGGAAGAATTTTCGAAAAAAAGCAGAAGTATGACAATTCCGTCGACCGAACAACCATTGGTGACATATAACAATGCATTGATACACACATGTACCATCCTTTTGAATGATCTCGAAAACCTGATCAACAAGATATCAGGCGCAAATTGTCACACGGGGAATTACCGAATGGAAATTGCACGGTAGGGAGGGGAGATAATAGACAAGGAGGAAAAAGCAACCACTGAAACCAAGCCTGGGTACCGTTCCACCGCTTGCCAAATGTGCAAATTGGCAAGTGGATGTTAAAACTGAAGTCGGCAAGATACATCTTTGACATTTTCACACTTGGTAAGTACTAGACCCATGGCCACTTGCTTAGCTCCCTTTAGCTAACATGGAATGAGCGGACAGTGGAGCAGGGACAGCCACGAAGGGGACACAGGACCATCGAGCGGGCCAGCTGCCCATATACTGAGGGAGACTTTTCGGCCACTTTTATGGCTACCAGGCTGCTGAAGCGTTATCTCACTGAGGCGCAGCTGCAGCCATTGTAGTAGAGTGAAGGCTAGGAGGGCATGGAGGCCACGGACGGCCCCCATGGCTGAAATGTGAGGTATTTCTGGGGCCACTAACAAGCAACAGAAAGACAAGCAGCGATGAAGTTTAGCAGAAGAGAGAGAGAGAGAGAGAGAGGGAGAGGAGACACTGTCCGCTGGCCATAGCTACGTAGCTGTGTATGGTCCCTAACTATCATAGCCAACGGCTGCAGTGATTGCCACCGAAGTTGTGCTGTGGGGATGGCCATACCCACTGCTTCTCTTCTACCTCAGCACACACACACACACACACA